GCAAGCTCAGGCCATTTGGAGTAGTAGTCAGTCAATGTTATGACGTATCTACAAGCAGGTATTGCAGTATCAAAAGGCCCAACAATGTCAAGACCAAGTTTTTTCCACGGTCCATCAGGCAGTGGGACGGGTTGGAGAGGAGCAGGATTAGTATGTGCAGTTTTGTCATTGGACTGGCAAAGGAGGCATGAGGTTATGGCAGACTGGACTTGTGAGTCCATTTTTGGCCACCAGTAGAGATCTCGTAGTCTTTGTTTTGTGCGCACAATCCCTTGGTGACTTTCATGTGCCAGCGCAATGAGTTTAGGTCTCACTGAAAGTGGTGCAATGAGCCTTGAGCCTCTGAGAACATAATCACTCAGGGTTGAAAGTTTATTACGGATTTTGTAGTAAGGTGCAAGCGTGACATCAAGTGCTTTGATTGAGGCAGGCCAGCCGCTTTGTATTTGTGAACGCAAAGCAACCAGTTCAGGGCAAGTTGAACAGGCAGAGTCAAAGTCCGCAACTGGAAGTGAGGACATGGCAGCAGAAACTTGGGCTACCATTTCATGATCTGCATCCGATGTAGGATGGGAAGAAACAGGCAGGGGCAGGCGAGAGAGATAGTCAGCTGTATAGTTCTGAGAACCTGGGCGGTAAATAACATCATAGTCAAAACACAGGAGGCGGGCAGACCAGCGGGCGATACGCATTCCAGCCCTATTAATCCCTTTGGTGCTCAGCAGTGTTGTCAGAGCTTGGTGGTCTGTCCGCAGAGTAAAACGTCGGCCCCACAAATACGTTCTCCATTTCTCTGCAGCCCACACACAAGCATAAGCTTCTTTTTCAACAGTTGAGTACTTTTGTTCTGTTGCAGACATTGTGCGGGAAGTAAACGCCACAGGTTTTTCTGTGCCATCAGGTTGCACTTGAGCAAATACAGCACCAAGCCCATAGTCACTTGCATCAGTAGAGATCACGACACACAAGGCAGGGTCAAACAGTAGCAGTGCAGGACTATTCACCAGGAGTTTTTTTTACTTCTTCAAAGCTCGCTTGTGCATCTAAAGTCCATGTGAAGGTGTTCTTGTCGTTAGCACAGGCACGCATAGGGGCTACAACAGTTGCAAGGTTTGGCAAGAACTTGGAGTACCATGACACCAAGCCCAGGAAGGATCTCAGAGCAACAGCATCAGATGGGGAGGGGCTCTCAAAGCAGCATCGACATGCTCTTCATCAGGAAGAATGCCTTCAGCAGTGACAACATGACCTAGGAAGCATAGTAATGTCTTCCTAAAATGGCATTTGTTTTCATTAAGCACAAATCCAGCATCCCTGAGCTTCTGCAGGACAGTGCTAAGGTTTTGGTCATGCTCAGCTGCACTTTTACTGTAGACAGTAAGGTCATCCAGGTAGTTTTGGACACCTGGGAGGTCTTTAAGGATTTCAGCCATCATTTTCTGAAAAGCTGAGGGGGCAGAGGCCAGTCCATAAGGTACTCTGCAGAATCTGAAGAGTCCATCATGTGTAATGAATGCTGTCAAATCTCTGCTATCTTCATGCAGGGGCAGCTGGTAGTATGCATTTGCAAGATCAATTGTAGAAAACACTTTTGCACCCTGTAAGCTGGCAAACAATTCATCCACATGTGGTAAGGGGTAGCAATCAGTGATCACAGCTTTGTTTGGTTCACGGAGGTCTGCACACAGCCTTATTCCACCAGTTTTCCGTCCTGTCACAACAATTGGGGATACCCATGGTGATGCATCAATCCGTTCAATGACACCAGCTTTGAGTAAACGATCCAGTTCTGCTGAAACTGAAGCCCTCACAGCAAACGGGAGACGTCGCAGCTTCTGATGCACAGGTTTGACTGTTGGGTCAACTTTCACTTTATGCACAAAGGCACGCACGCAGCCAATATCTGGGGCAGCAGGGATGCAAGAAGCAGGTGATGGATTTGTAGACATCACAGAAGCAGTAGGATCAGTACATGGAGGTAGAACAGTATTGCCTTCGTGTATGTAACTAGTTGAAGGTCAGGTGGTTTTAGTGGCGTACCACTGAAGTGCTCTTTGTAGATGTGGTTAGGCAGGATAGAAACTGCAGAACCTGTGTCCACAATCAGTTCAATGTCCTTAGCTGATGAGGTAGGTGTTCTCACATTTATGCTGCATTGCAATCCTTTTGATGCATGAGAAGGATCTGTTAAGTAAAGGACTGTGAGTTTTGGTAAATGGACTTCCCGTACATCTCTTGTCTTGGATGAGCAGCAGACACGAGCAAAATGTCAAATTTATGACACAGTTTACAAGTAGCTTTGGCAGCAGGACACTGACGAAAGTTGGCTAAATGACTGTTTGAACCACATCTAAAACAGTTCTTAGATGTTTTTGTTGCATGAGATGGCTTTGCAGGGTGAGCATTGTACTTATGTTTCCTCTGCATGGAGTGCGAGTGAGACTGCACAGCTTGGACTGGGGTACTACTGTCTGCAGCTATGGATTTAGCTTGTTGAACTGCAGATTCCATTTGTGTTGCCAGTGTAACAGCTTTATCTAGTGTCAAATCAGGTTCCAGCAAGAGTCTTTCTCTTATGCTGGGGCTAGACACATGTTCAACTAGATGATCACGGATCATTTCTTCTGTCCTGTCATCAAACTCACATTTAGAAGCAAGGTCACGCAAGCTCGCCACATACTGGATAACAGTCTCATGTGAAGCTTGTGTTTGCTGTCTGAAAGCATGTCTTTCCACAACAACATTTACCTTGGGTGAAAAGTATTGTTCTAGGGCAGTAACAGCAGAGGCGAAAGTGTCACCTGTGTTTGGCAGTGAGTAGAAAATCCTTTGTCCCTCAGTTCCTAAGCAGTGAAGTAAAGTAGCTCTTCTTCGTGCTTCAGGCCAAGCATTCCCTGTTGCATTGATCACAAGCAAATAATTGTTGAACATACGCATCCACATGTTGAATGGCAAAGCAGGATCTCCAGGGCAAGGCAAAAACATCGGCGGCGGATGGACGTTTGCAGCCATGATGACTCAGCAAAAAAACTCAAAGCAGAAAAAAAAAGCACGCAGGGGTTACTCGTCGCCAAAATGTAGTAGCGGCCGGTAATAAACCAATCCTCATGAAGAACAGTGCTCTTTAATGAATTCAGCACAGACTAACATCGAAGAGGTAGCAGTGACACACATCAGTTATCAGCTAGCCATCTAACTGTATTCTAGGGGTGGGTTTAAAAAATCGATTCATCGATTAAAATAGATTCTAACTGGAATAAAACGATATCGATTCATTAAATCCTGAAATCGATTTTTTTTTTATACATATGTAGTTTGCCGCGTATGAAACTTGCAAGCGGTTAACATGAGGAAGTCACGCGAGAGTTAAGTGACCTGGACGCATGAACCATCATGGCTACTCCCGGGAATGTGCCACAGAGCCTAAAGGCAGATGTCTGGCAACACTTTGGATTTAAGAACTGTGAAGACAGTGAAGAGCCGGACAAAAGCAAAGCCGTATGTAAGATGTGCAAAATGGAGGTAAAGCACTGTGGAAATACCACAAATCTCAGAAATCATTTAACGAGGCATCATCCAGATATCCCGCTAGCAAAAACGGCCGACACCAAGCAACGCTCACTCGAAAAGGCATTTGCAATGAAGTTGGCATCCACTTCTCCACGTGCCCAAAAAATAACCCAGTCTGTGGCAACTTTCATTATGTAAAGATATACGTCCGTACAGCGTTGTTGAAAATGATGGCTTCCAAAACCTCATTAATACGCTAGAACCACGCTATGTTTTACCATCACGCAAACATTTGAGTGAAGTGGTAATCCCAAACATGTATGAAAAAGTGAAACACGATGTTACAGCCTCACTCAAGTCAGCAGAGAGAGTCGCTATAACCTGTGACAGCTGGACATCCAGAGCAACAGATAACTACCTGACTATCACCTCACACCATATCGACCAGGAGTGGAGACTCGTGTCTCATGTCTTACAGACAAGAACCACCGAAGCAAGCCACACAGCAGCTAATTTATCTGAAATTATGTTCAAAGCAATCGAAGAATGGGAGCTTACAAACAAAAATCCAGTCATCGTAACTGACAATGCTGCAAATATGGTGCGAGCTGTAGAAATAACGGGCTGGTTGCACATTGGTTGTTTTGCCCACACACTCAATTTAGCTTCACAAGCAGGACTGAAAGTTCCAGCTGTTGCTCAGCTGCTTGGCCGAGTGAGACGCATAGCATCCTTTTTTCATCGCAGCACTGTTGCAAGTCGCAAGCTTAAAGAGAAGCAAAAGATACTGAATCTACCTGCCCATAAGCTGGTGACTGATGGGGTGACCAGATGGAACAGCACATTGGAGATGCTGGAACGCTTCCTAGAGCAACAACCAGCAATCTCTGCAGCTCTACTCTCACCTGAAGTGAGGAGAAGTGACAGTAATCTCTGTAGTCTTACAGAGGCTGACATAACTGATGGAGAAGATATAGTGAAAGCTTTGAAGCCGCTGAAAGCAGCCACACTGGTTATGTCTGAAGAAAAGTCCCCGACCCTTTCCATCATTGCACCTCTGCATGCACAGCTGCTGGAGAAGATGATCAGTGTCTCTCATGACTCCTCACTGATTAAAGACCTCAAGACTGCTGTATACGACAACTTGAAGTCAAGGTATGTTTATGAATTGTGTGTATATGCCATGAATGAGTGTAACTGTATGGATGCATGTATTACATGAAAATTCTTATTATAGTGAAAAAATCTATATATTATAAAAATGTTAGTTAAGCCCTCTTGTCTAGTAATAGGCCTTTTGATTTTATATCTATCTGTCTATAGATGTTTATATATAAATTATGGAAACAAAGTCGTATATTAATGTTTCTGATCTTGCATGAGTGTATGTAACCATGCACATGTATATCCAACATAATAAACTGAGTTAAATGTGCAAAATCTCTTTTCAAGATATGTGGCTCTAAAGGACAAGCTCTACATTGCATCAGCATTAGATCCTCGCTTTAAGGCCCTGCCATTCTTGTCCAAAGAGACCTGTAACAACACATTCTCTCAGTTGGTGTTGGAAGCAGCAGGTTTGGAGAACGTGGACACAGCTATTGTGAGTTACAGAAACAAAAACAAAAAATTATTGGTTTTTTTGCACTACTCGAGTTAGAATATAAATAGTAATTTCTTTATTAATTAAGTTTTCATTTTTCTACAGCGACAGTCTGATGGTGACACATCTGAGGAAACTGTCCCTGACATCTCTCTTGGTGGTGTTGATGAAGTGGATTATGCCCCTCCAATTAAGAGGTCAAAGGACTCTGCATTAATTTTTCTCCTTGGGCCAGCCTACTCAACAAAAACCACAGCACCACAGAAAACACCAACTCAGAAGGCAAAGGAAGAAGTGAATCGATACAGGGACGTTGAGCCTGTTGCACTTTCTGAGGATCCTTTGATCTGGTGGAGGGACCATGAAAGGGAGTATCCTCTCTTGGCTCTACAAGCAAAGCAGTATCTTTCCATACCTGGGACCAGTGTTCCTTCTGAACGAGTGTTTTCAACTGCTGGTGACATTGTTACCGCACAAAGGAGCTGCCTGACTCCACAACATGTAGACCAGCTTCTCTTCTTGCAGAAAAACCTTACAGTCTCAAAGAAGTGAGAGGGTAGTTATAAATAAGGCTAAATTGCATTAGTTTCACAGAGGTTTTACAATACTGTTCAATATGTTTTCATTTTTTGAAGTATTTTAAAAGGCAGTTTTTCATTTTCTGATCGGTCAGTTTCTGTCAGTTCACTTGTACATGCTGTGTTATACTGTGTGTCTCCAAAACACAATAGTGGATTTCAGAAAAGCTGTGTGAGACACTAACAGCAAAACTATTTCTCTGAGGTTTTACTGATGTTTACAAAAGATGTGTTCTATTTGCACTGGATCCCTGATCCACTTGAAATGTATGTATGAAAAAATATATATACTAATGTTAATTAAAAATTACATTATTTAACTGCTTTAGTATCTGTTCTTAATTTTGAAATTTATGTAATTCATTCACAAGGCTTAGAGGGTTCTTTTGACAGTACATATACAAGGTGAATTATCATAATTTTATATATATTATGGTTCATATAATAATATTTCAGACTGATTCAAAATCGAATCGAATCAAATCGAATTGAATCGAATCGTGGATCGAATTGATTCGGGACCTTGTGAATCGGAATCGAATCGATTCTAGAAATCAGTGACGATTCCCAGCCCTACTGTATTCTATAGTGATGTGCGGATCGATCCTGAAATATCGATTCCTCCGATACCAATCATTTATGTTCTAGAATCGATTCTCACATTAAAATATCGATATTTTAGTAATTTAGAGTAAATTTGTAGTTTATCATTAACAGGAACACAGTGGAAAGAAACTATAACATTCGGATTGCCTACATTCAAAGGAACTACTTCCTCTTCCGCCTTTCATAGTCATGTGCGAAATACGGCTGTATAAATGTCTCGCAGCCCCTTGGCGTGCGCACTCACAACAATGGCTGAGCGTAATTGTGCGGATGTATTTTACCTCCACAAACAGCTGAGCCGTGGTTTGCAATAAATGTGGCAAAAAAAGTGAGGTGTTGTGGCCATACTTGCCAACCTTGAGACCTCAGAATTAGGGAGACATTCAAAAGGGCTGTTTGGGCGGATAAATATATTTTACAGGGTTTATTTATCGGATAAAATACGTTAAATGTCACCGTTATTATTGGCCGGCCCGGAAACAGCGGGGTGTCCAAATTCAGAGGCTGCTTCCACCTGAGGACCGGCCTTCGCGGTCTAAAGAAAGCCGGGTAGTACGTCACGAGCTCCCTCGGTGGAGTGAAACTCTGCCGTCTGCTCCTTGCTGTCTAAAATATAACCGGACACTGACGTAAACTCTTCTGTTTAATCAGTTTTCTGTTTGACGTTTATTCAGCTGTGTGAAAACCCCGGAGGAACCCTCCCGAGGGAATAATAAAGTTTAATCAAATTTAATCTAATCTAATAACTTTAATCTCAGCCAAACCGATTTACTCACGAACAAATAAAACACTGAAAAAGCCAAACAAGAACATTTTTAAGTTATCAAAGTGACTTGTACATCATGTTTAACCCGAGTGGTGAAAGACCGCGGGGGTTTGAAGACGATGTGTCGGTCGGCTCAGATATTTGAAGTTTACACAGCTACATTCTCACCTGAAAATATGTTAAAAGTTTTTTTGCGACCCAGAAAGAATAATAAGAGTAATATTAAAACTAAGTCGCTGCCGTCATTGTTGGAAACTGGAATTGGCTGGGCCGCGCTATGAATTCTGCGATATGGTTTTTCAACTTTGTTGTCCGGGTGGAAAATCTGGAGAAAGGTGGGATTCTCCCGGAAAAATCGGGAGGGTTGGCATGTATGGTTGTGGCAACATCACTAACCTTGTCAAACACCTCAGAGTAAATCATATCACAAAATATGACGAGCGTATGTTGAGGCGAACTGAAGAGGAGGAGAGGGACAGGTGCTGCTAGGGTGAGAGTCTCTCACGGAGTCCTTTAGTCCTCCAGGCAGGCAAGGTGTTCAAATAGCACACAACTTTAGTTTTTTTATTTCTATATGATGAACTCTGCATTATTAAGTGATAAGAAGAAGGTATTCTGATGTCCTGTAATCATTATGACGCTATCATTTGAGATACAATAAATAAAATCCGTTTTGTACAAAGTATCGGTATCGGATCAGTATCGTAGATACCACCCTGAATATTACTTGGTATCGGATCGGAAAGGAAATCAGTGGTATCGCACATCACTAGTATTCTATCTCTAAACCTTTACCGACTCCGCTTTACTCTTATTTTGCGACACCACCCTCTAGTGGTGCAATATGATATAAACATTACAGAACACAACAGGTAGTTACACACTCAGTAGCACAGGAACAGAGGAGGGAGAGACAGAGAAAGACAGCCAGGGACAACAAGGTCACATTAGAAAGGTATAGTAATCATCCACAACTATTTTCGGTTGCAGATGATAAAGGATTCAGAAAGTTTATTCATGCAGGCCCATATGACAGAGAATATGCATCTTCTTTTTGTTTTCATATTTTAGTTTATATTTAATTGTGTTGTGGTTTGCAGTGTTTTGTGTTGTTTCACTTTAAATTTGTAAAAGGAAAAAGCTGAAAATTTAAATAGTTAAAAGTTGAAATGTGAATATTGATTTTTGTATTATATGATTTATTTATTATATTTTATGTGGCGTGAATAAATAAAAGTATATTTACGGTGGCCCCTACAGACAAAGCATGTAAAAACTCCAAAACACGTAAAAACTCCAAAACACGTAAAAAAACTCAAAGCACGTACAAAACACAACAGAAGTGCTCCAGGATGCTAGGGCGCAGTGTTGAGCTTTTGTTACCTAGTGGCTACACAAGCCAGCAAGTACCAATGACCGGATTTGGTGTGTGGTAATAACAGGTAAATGAACATTGTTTTTAAATTATTTGAATATATATATGTGAGTGCACAAACAATACACATATGCTTTCAACTGTGTAATTTAAGTGATCTAGGTAACCAGTGGCGGTCCTAGCCTGTTTGGCGCCCCGGGCGAACACTCCCTCTGCCCCCCCCCCCCCCCCCCCCCCCCCCCCCCCACACGCACACACACACACACACACACACACACACACACACATATAAAACATAAAACATATTAAGGATTATACATTAACATAAAACTGTTGTCGGAACCATACTGAATTTCGCCATAGAACACACACACACACACACACACACACACATATAAAGAGAGAGAGAGAATGCATTGTATGCAAACGGCTACCAAACAGCCATCATAATTCGTCATACAATGAGAACTGGACAAATCAAAGATTGACAACGACTAATTAATATTAGAATCTGTAACATAATGTATTGTTCAAGAGTTTAGTCTGTTACTGTTACTATTTTTACCATTTCTTTTTGGAGCAACTGTAATCCACATTATTTCCTTAGGGATTAATAAAGTATTCTGATTCTGACTCTGATTGTTTCAGGATGAGCTGCCATTATCCAACGACACATCTGCTTACCTGTATCTTTTGCTCGTTTCTCCTCCTCTTCTTTTCTCTTTTTTCTAAACTGAGCACCTGATGGCTTTGAACTTTTCTTGTCCATCTTCCATTGGTTTTAATTTTGGACTCCAGTATGAACACAAATCCCCCAACCCGAGGATCACCACAACATAACCTAATAGACCTACACCTTCGTTCACAGATTCACTTTGTCTAGGGTGTATTTCTGGGATTTCACACAACCCAGGATTCAAGTCATGAATACATAAAGGGCTTGGATTTCCATCATTATGAATGAAATGTGCTCTATTTGGAAGCAGCCGCCCCCCCCCTTTCGACGGGTTGTGTGTGAGACTTTAAATCATCAAACTGTAAATTATAAATTGTAAATTGTTATTGATCCTTTACCCCGAGTCCTAAAGTGTATATCTATTTTCTTACTCTTCTTATATTTATTGTTTGTTTACTTGCACTGTTGTAACTGGAGCCTCATCGTCTCGTGTCTCTATATATTGGACTGTAGCGGAGATGACAATAAAGTTTACTTTGACTTCAGCAGCGAGCAGGCGCACCGAGGGCTCTTGCGTTTACTTTTCGCGTATAGAATTTCGAAAAAACATCGGTGCAAATTATAAGTCTGTATCATGATGTCTGGTGTTTTCGTGTTTGTTGTTTTGTTTTTATTTTGTTTTATTTTGCGAGTTGGTTATTAGATACTGCTCCAGCCGGTCAGAGAATCCCCGCCGCCCCGCCCTCTCCTCCCTGTGCCGCAAGCAGCAGGCGCACCTCGCAAACGGAGGGCGCTCTTACTCCCAGCAAATGGGCGATAGAAAACCGTTCGGTGCCCATGCCATTCCCAATATGCGCTGGCTGATGTCGGGGCAGCATGAGTACGAGCAATTATTTATTTATTTATTTATTTTTTTGCCGATGCCTGTGATGCCGCCCCCCACCACGATGCCGCTGGGCAACCGCCCGTGTCGCCCGTATCAAAAACCGCTACTGTAGGTAGCTCTGTTTTGGAAGTTCAGTTAACGCTAGAAATCTGTTTTGGGGTTTGTACATGCTTTGTCTCTAGGGGCCACCGCATATATTTATATATAAACATATATAAATAAAACCACTACTTACATTAGTAATTCCTTTTGTGCATAATTTTATATTATTGTTAATAATAAATTAATTAAAGCAACAAAACAACCTGAAGAGCCGGTTCGGAGCCGAAAGAGCCGGCTCTTTTTAGTGAGCCGAGCCGAAAGAGCCGGTTCTCTAAAAGGAGCCGGAAATCCCATCACTAGTACATTGTCTGTCACTGCCACAGAGGGCAGGTCACGTCACAGTCTGCTCATTTTGCAGTGGTCAGTTTGTGGAACATGCACAAAGTATTTTATCATTTTCATGGATCGGGCGTGTTGTTGTTGCATAAAAAGATCACACAATAATAATAATAATTATAATAATTATAATAATAATAATGAATTAAAACAGAAAATATAAAAAAATGACAAAATATGATTAGAGACACATCTTCAATAAATAGTATCTGGGTCAAAGTGTGCAAATACTCCACATAGGAAATTATCACAAGACTTTTTTTTTCTTCAGTGAGACTTAAAACATGCATAATAATATTAGCCTATAGCGTTATGTGTTATTTGTGTAAAAACGTCTATTTCTTTATTTTAGTCATTAAATCTGTTATAATACAAGTGTTGTGTCTGCCAGACTCTCTCTCCTTAAGGTACCTTTTCCCCCATTGATGTTCCAGGGATGTACCTTTCATTGGTGTGGATTTAACAGGCATTCTTCACATTTGTGATTTGTGTTTACTGTTATTTTGTGTTGTTGCTGACATCCACCTGGATGATCATAAAGCTTACTACTACCTCTTGTAGCACTTACGTGGAGGTATATATACACAGTGCTGATGGATAATTACCAAGGTAATGAGTAATTTGGGCTAGTATCAGAAGATTAAGAACGACTCTTAGAGCTCTGGTACATGAATGGCAAAGAAACCAGACAAACACAGTTGTGTGGCTTAAAAGTACTTTAGTGATGTTAAGCCTTTTAAAAGAAATCAACACAAGATTACAACAGGTTTTAACAGAACTTATGAAAATGTATAAGTAATGTCTAAAATTTTCCCCCAAAGTAGCAAAAAAATAGAATAAAAATAAAACTGTGCCACTTTGATGAGGAGCTCTTTTTGTGATACTGTTGCCATCTCTCCCAGGATGAATCCCTGAGCAGTGAAAGAGCATATCAGTTGTTTAACATGTTACTCTCTTCCTTGTAGGCTGCTGTGTTTTATTTTAATTTTTGAAATCACACCACATGAACATATATCCTCTAGTATGTTATGCACTTTCACATATCATATTAATAAACACAGTGGGCCACCATTACCAAAATATGCCAGTGTCAGTCCAGCCCTGAACCCAGATGATCCAGAATGCAATAAGACTTAAAATGGAGAGCAGTTCAGAGTCAGTTCAATATTAATGGAGTTCGTTTCTGTTATCACATGTTTACACTGACTTGCCTACTATTGCAACGTGGAAATGTTCTCAGTTGTTTGTGTTGTATGTTGTATGTTTGTGTCATTATCTTGAAAAAAATTAAATGTTATACTTTTTAAAATCACTGTCCATCCATCCATCCATCCATCCATCCATCCATCCACTTCCTCTTCTCCTTTTCAGGGTTGCAGGGGTTGATGGAGCCTATCCCAGCTGTCTTAGGGCGAGAGGCAGAGTACACCCTGGACAGGTCGCCAGTCTGTCACAGGGCTAACACAGACAGAGACATCCAATCACAATCACATTCACTCCCACATTCACACCTATGGGCAATTTAGTGTTTCCAGTTAACCTGTCCCCCACTTTAAAATCACTGTTTTCTACTAAAACTCCATTGTTAGCTATAGGGACAATCAACCCCATTCCTTCTGACAGCTAACCCAGCTATGGGGTCAAAATTTCAGAGTGTCATAGATGAATGAATGAACAGCAGTTCATCAAAGAGTAAAAAGTGTGATACCCAACCCCAGTCTACCCCACGGTTTCTCTCTCAAACACGCTCCTGGGAGGAGCATATTTAAATGAACCACACAAACTTGATTTACCGGCATGCAATTTCCTGCAAATTATACTAAATTTAACGCTGTGAAAGAATTCTTTGTTTTGTAACTGATGCGGTTTTGATAATCTTGCGTTGGTTTAGCTGCAATCAGTGGGGGAAATGTTATCAGAAGGAGTGCATAATTGGCTCTGCCCCGGTTTCACCCTGCATGTTTAGAGCCGTGCGTAATTCTGGTCAGTGTATGAATCAGTGGAACCGAGACAATGAAGCCTGTAATGCAGACTATAAAAACAAAAACAACGAGCTCAAAGACCCCAAAACAAAAAACTGTTGAGTCAGTGACAAGTTTTGTGGAATTTCCTATACTAACGATATGCTTCAGCATAAAAGCTGTGCTTATGAGTGAAAGAGAGGCGCTATTATTGACATTAAGACATAAATAGGAGTCATATATAGATTATATGGTGGAAGAAAAAAAAGGGAAAAAACCAATCAGATGTTGTTAGCTGATTGAAGCTGATTTTTTAGTGCTTTTTCCCCCCAGTATAACACATCAATGGGATGATTATTTTTATTCTCAAAAGCTCTGTATCAGTGTATTGCTATGTAACTACTCTCTCTTTCTCTCTCATAGAGACACACACGCGCACACACACACAGACACACACACACACACATTCTTGCCCTCCACGTTGCAACACTACACTTCATTTTTCTTGACCCTCCCTTCCTTCCTCTCTTCATATACCAACAGAGAACGCCCATGGTGGGTTTCAGAGGCCAGAGCAAAGGAACTCCCTCGTCATCAACTTCAGACACACAGAAGCAAAGCAAATACACACACCCCACACCCACATGTGCACTCACTCACTCACTCACTCACTCACACACACATACACACACACTCACACACCCCACAGTTCCACATAAACTAAAAGAACCCACTGCTACCTCATAAGTCTCAGGCTGTGGCACCGTCAGCATCGATCAGCTGTTAACGTGACATAGAAGAAGGATGGCTTCTCCTGGATGGGCCGTTGCGCTCATGCTGTTTCAGCTCTTCCACTCAGGTGAGTGAACTGATGGCTGAGTGGGTGCAGTGGGCAGCTCTGATGAGAAGAACCTGTTCAGTGTAGAAGCCAATTGGGCGATAGAAGCAGATAAGGTTAAAAAGTAAGGTTAAAGAGTGTGACAAGAGAGATAACTGGGACTGAAGATGACTGGGCAGAGTGTGGTGGCTGCGCTTGTAAGAACCCCTGAGGCAAATTGATTTGTAGTTAAAAATGACATGTGATCACTTTTCTGAGGGTAAAGTTACTTTTTTTACTCTGCTAACCCAATCCAAGCATTTCAGCTCAGGTTTTTCCAAATTGTAGGAAACTATTTAACTTTAAAAAACGTAATATGTTGTTAGAGAGGATTCAAAGCGGTTACACATGATCATATCAAACATGAGACATTTGAAAACATAACACAAAACATTATCTACACATGTAAAGCTCCATTCTGCATCTGAAGAAATTTGAATTTGTGATTCTTAGACAGACTTAGCTGACAGTACTTCCCATTCACATTTTGAACGCAGGCTTTTCCTTAAAGATTTCCATCCCATCTTTGGGGATGGAAGCATCCCCAAAGATCTGCAAATCAGGAAAAAAAAGACGTCATTGATCCTTCAGGTTTTGAGACTTGTGATCCTGGTTTGGTCCGGAGACTACGCTCTCTGTAAGCTGACCCAGCTGGCAGTTGTACTGCATTGTTCACGTTGCAGAGTGGCACATGGGAAACACAACTATAAATTTTGACAGCCGGCACGCCTACTGCCAGTGAGATCATCTGATAGGCAGGAGAACAACCCCAGGACTCGATGGAACAATGGTCAATTGAAAAGAGGAGCGAGTTCTTACGATTTGGGCAGGGTGTCCTTCCTTCCTCAGAGGAACACACTGGGTGTATTCAGCATGCTATGAAACAATAGTTCACAATAGATCAGCTAAAATGAGTATTATTTCATGAGATGGCAAAATTTAATTGACCCTTGCATGTATTGTGTTAAGACCGAGAAAAAAAAATACTCATGAGATCATGTGAGTTACAGTGCCAGGACAAACATAGGAGGAGACCCATCCTTTTATTCATGTTTTTATTTATAGTATTGGGTTTAACATCACAGGTATTCAGTGTGTTAGGTCTACATGTACAGTATCCTCCTTAATGTTCTGTTTTTCCATCTTATGGCATTCTCTCCACCATGTTTTACAGATGATGTAATGTGTTTCATTTCATAAGCCGTTTACTGTTATGGCACGGTATGGATCCAGTGTAAGTGTAGCGCGTGGCGAACACTAAAGCGGTCGCGCCAGAATGTCACGCTAAAAAGAAAGATTCTTTAAAATACAAGGGGGAGCAAGCGAGTCAGATACCACGGGCACAGAGAGGAAGCAGGTCTGATCAGAAACAGTTTATTACTAGGCCAGGGAGCACAAATAAAAACACTCTTAAAATGTATGTAATAAAATGTTTGCTCTCTACTAAAAACAATTCTAAAACCTGTAAAACTACCATTTTCTACATTCACTAAAACCCCCCTGCTATAATTAGGCCACATGTTCATTATGGGTCCATCAGCAGGCCAGGAATTCCTCCTTTAGAGCAGAGTCCACGCCAGCCCCGTCTTCAGCAGACAAGAAAGAGCCACCCATCTTCTTGTCCTTCCGCTGGCCCATCACTTCCCAGCCCGGCTTGCGTTCTGCACCCGAATCCATAATGTGACCACCGCCACAGCTCCCTTGCGTCGGTGTCCTGCAACATAACAAATAGGGGCCAGAACAATGGTCCCAGAAGCGGCCCTGGCTCATGGCCATGGTGACCCTCTCCCAATCCAGCTGCACCCAGTAAACAACAGTAGAGACCCTACTCACAAATGCAGGCAGAGGTAAACCTCTGCCCTGCTGCCAATCACACGCGTTGTCTCTTACTGTTGCCGTTCCATGAGGTCAGGACTTGGTCGCCGCATCACACTGGCCATCTCGCATTAACCTTCCAGCCTCTCTCCTTCAGTGCTCAGCTAGCCTGTATTTAAAAGGTCTTTACACAGCTGATAGGCCACCTCTGGACACACCCCTGCCTCAGAAGGTGGTCCCTATCAGCTAATTTGTCCCATGTGCAGCCAGTCCACAGTGGATAAAAACCATGTCACATAAAACACTAAAAACCATGCAATAGAAACAGAATAAAACCATGCAAACAAAACAACACTCATAAATAAACACTAAAAATCAGAATAAAAACAATATACAAGATAAATACAAATTTCCACTGTGTGACATCAGGATCCATACCGCTAACTGACTGCTGATAAAAGCAGCAGGATGAATCCTGAAGCGTAAAGGGCTCTCTGCCCAAGTTCAGCCAAATTTTATAAGACAGTGCTTCACAGCGTAAATAGATTTTTACTCAAAGCATACCGCAACTCCCAGCAGAGCAGCTTTTCAGTGACTGAAGATAAAACTGAATGCAGAGAGACGCACAAATGGGGTGCGAGTGGTTGCAGAAACGGCCTGGCAAAGCATCTCAAGGGAGGGAACACAGTAATTGTCCATGGGTTCGAAAATCCAGGGAGTGATTAAAGGATTTTCCTCCAAGTATTAAGAACACTTTATTTAAATACATTTAAAAATCCATTGTGGTGGTGTACAGAGGCAAAATAATAAATAATATAAATAAATAAACATTTTTAAAAAAAAGTACATTTAAAAAGTCACTGTCTGCAGTGTTTTTGTAGCTACTTTCATTTTCAGAAAGCTCACAATGAATTTTTAACAGTTTTTTTTTTTTTTTTAACAAGCACAATGGATAAACCCCAAAAAGTTGATTCTGTTCATCTGGATGTAGCGTTTTCAGTGGGAGAAACGTTTGTTCCTCATTCAGTCTCAACTGAAGAAGTTGCTAGAGTTTCTCCCACTGAAAACTCTACATCCAGATGAACAGAATCAACATTTTGGGATTTCCTTACCTGGATGATTGAGCCTGCATGAAATATTTTATAGTATTTTGAGGTTTTCTTCCAGTTTATTAAAAAAAAAGTACACGTAACACAAGGTTTTACAGTATTGCTGCCCCACAGATTGAACTTAGACAGAAAGGTACAACATGCAGTCTAAAGTTGCATAAGCTGACATTCGTAAGGAAAGCTTTAGCAACTAAAGACTTGGATTATTATAGTAAAGCGAGGAAAATTAGATCTTTTTTATTTCTTAGTTAAAACATGTTGTGTGGATTTCTGATAAAAATAAAAGTGCAAAATGATTTTGCACAGACCTTAAAGATACAGTACACAGTGTTTACTTTCATGACTTATTATATCTTGCTCTTTCTCCCACTCCCTTAACCTCAGGTACTTCATACCCTGTTTTCACTAGCACACCATCTCTTCCACCAGAATTCGCACTTCCCTTTCCAAATGTCAGCCTTGTCGCTTCTCCCATCACACCTGGAGAATCAACACAAAGTGTCCTCTGCCCTCTAAAGATATCACCCTCCACTGTGGTGGTCAGGTATGGCAAAAAAGAGTGAGTGATTATTTCAGGCTGACGTAGGTGGTCAGTGATAAGAGTCTGTGTGCACTAACTTGCTGTTCACTCATCTGTGCAGTTTAAAGCCTTTTTGGACAGTAAAATGATAGCTTGGTGTCACTCAGACATGGTGACCTTGTGGTATTTCATTGTTCAGAAAGGTTCACGAGGTTTTGACCTTGTGTTGAGCTTCTGAAATCTATGGTGCAAAGATCAGCACTCTGATTTTTATCTTGGATCAATTTCCAACTATTAAATATTTCAGTTGCTGTCATGACTTGTATTGAAATGTAAGAGGCAACGTCAAGAAAATGTCACCAAATTAACAGAATCATCTGCGTGTCTGAGGGAATTAATTGTGTATCTCCTTTAACAGGTTTGGAGATCCAGTCAAAGCTAACTGCTCCATACAAAGAATGGGGTATTTTGGCATTGGTTGGGAAGTCCCACTGGTAGGTTAATCAGTGTTTGATTATACACAGTGTTTTATATGTTGAGAACCAAACAACACCCACTAACTAAACTAAATATAAGGCTTATATCCTCACTTTGTAGTTTTATATAAGAGAGCTGTATATTTTCATCACACAGTCTTCACAACTTCATATCCAATGCAAAGAGAGTTATGATAAGTGTGAAGTGTATTGGGAAATAAAGAAAGAGCACTGCAGATGCAGTATTTGCTTTGAGGGCGTTGACTGAGAAGTATTGAGAGTTGCACTGTGTTTGTGGATCTAAAGGACATGATAGGGTGCCAAGATAGGAACTGGGGTACTGCCTGAAGAAGTCAGGAATGGCAGAAGATGCAAGGATGGTGCCAGAAATGTCTGAGGACAGCGAGACATTGGTGAGGTGTGAGTACATCAGGGATCGGCTGTGAGCCACTTCTTGTTGACAGTAGTGATTGATAGTCTGACAGATGAGGCGAGGCTGGAGTCTGCATGGACTATGATGCTCACTAATGAAATTGTGATCAGTAGTGAGAGTATGGAGTAGGTGGAAAAGAACCTGGAGACGTGGAGGTATGCTCAGAGGAGAAGAGGAATGAAAGTACAACCAAAACAGGATAGATGTGTAAATCAGAGGAAGACAGATGAAAAGGTTACCATGGAAGCAGCAGAAGTGGTGAAGGTAAATTCAATTCAATATTATTTATATAGGAAAAACTTTTTAACGAGAAGAAACCCATGGAAGAACCATGCCCAGGGAGGGGCAGGCAATTGTTGAGATTGGTTGGGGGTGAAGAGAAGGACACAGGAAAAAAAAGACACTGTGGAAGAGAGCATAATTTCAGCATAATTGTCAATAAGGAAAGTCTTAAGAGTAAACTTAAAAGTAAAGAAGGAATCTGTCTCCTAAATTCAAACTAGGAACTGGTTCCACCAAAGAGGAGCCCGAAAGCTGGAGACTGTCTCCCATTCTACTTTTTAATACTCTAGGAACCACATGTGAACTCAGTCTGACTGTGAAGTGATCTGATGGGGTGATACAGTACTAAAAATTCTTAAAAGACGTATTTTGGAATGATGATTTTGAATCTGATTCTGGATTTAACAGGGAGCCAATGAAGAGAAGACAATATAGAAGAAATATGTACTCTCTTACTAGTCTATGTCAGTATTCTTGCTGCAGCATTTCACCTCAAGTAAAGGCATTTCAGGGAGTTTTTAAGGCATCCTTATAATAATGAATTACCGTCATCGAGCCTAGATGTAATAAATGCATGAACTAGTTTTGGAGGTCCACCTACATTGTTCTTTGTAAAAAAGTGATTGCCCCCTAAACCTAATAACTGGTTGGGCAACCCTAAGCAGCAACAACTGCAATCAAACATTTGTGATCACTGGCAATGAGTCTTTTACAGCACTTTGGAGGAATTTTGGACCACTTGTCTTTGCAGAATTGTTGTAATTCAGCCAAAATCAAGGGTTTTCAAGCATGAATTACCTTTTTAAGGTCATGCCACAGCATCTTAATCTGATTCAGGTCAGGACTCCAAAGCAGTCCTGCTCTTTTTCTTAAGTTAGAGGTGGACTTGCTGGAGTGTTTTGGATCACTGTCTTTCTGCAAAAACCAAGTGCTCTTCAGCTTGAGGACACAAACAGATGGCTGGATATTCTCCTTCAAGATGTTTTGGTAGATCCATGGTTCCATTTACCAGATCAAGTCTCCCAGATCCCTAGGCAACAAAGCAGCACTGAACCATCACATTACTGCCACAACGTTTTACTGTTGGTATGTCGTTCCTTTTCTGAAATGCTGAGTTACTTTTATGCCACAAGTAATGGGACACACCCAGTCTGACCATTTTTCAAGGCTTGGAGATCATCACGATGTTTTCTGGAAAACTGAACTACGCCTTTATGTTCCTTTTGCTCAGCAGTGGTTTTCATCTTGGAACCATTTGGGGACATTTTTGCCCAGTCTCTACCTTATGGTGATGTCATGAACACTGAACTGAAGCAAGAGAGGCCTACCGTTCTTTGTTCCGGGGTGGATGAGTCGTTGCTGAGGTCCTGGGGTAACTTTGTTCAGCCAGTGAAAGTTCACCACTGTTCCATGTTTTCGCCATTTGTGGATAATGTCTTTCACTGTGGCTCGCTGGAGTCCCATAGCTTTAGAAATGGCTTTATAACCTTATCCAGACTGAGATCTGAGTTACATCGTTTCTCACTTGTACCCGAATTTCCTTCGATCGCAGCATGATTTCTAGTTTTGGAGGACTTTTTGGTCTACTCTACTTTGTCAGGCAGGTCCTATTTAAGAGATTTGATCGAGCACAGGTGTGGCAGTAATCAGACCTGTGTATGGCTACAGACGTTGAACTCCGCTTTTCAAAGACGTGATACACCACAGTTAATTTCCCCTTAATAATAAACACCATTTAGAAACAGCATTTTGTTTACTTGTTAATATTAAAATTAGTTTAATGGGCTGACACTTGAGTGTGATGAACACACACACACACACACACACACACACACACACACACACACACACACACACACACACACACACACACACACACACAAAAAAAATTGTGTTTATTGTTCATTGCCTTCACTTGAGGAAAAAAGAAAAAAATCTGAATAGCTTTGCGATTTGTTACCCTTTGCCACTCCAGAACCGTCCTAACTTTACATCACAAGGTTTTCTGATCTGGAGTGTTGAGAAGATGACTGACTGGACCATCAAGCCTGTGTGTTTTGCCCTATCTGAACAGGGAGGACAGTGTTACAGTAAACTCACCCTAATAGTCTACAGTAAGTCAACAGCATTATCCTTCTGACATGCATGAAGCACTTTACATGGCTGATATGCCAACCTCTCTCCACAGAGCCTCCAGACAGAGTATCCATCACATTTCTAAATCACAGTGAGTCACCGTTTGAGGGTGATCGGTATACTCTACAGTGCCACGTTACAGAGGTTGCGCCTGCTGAAAATGTCCTCGTGACCTTCTACAGAGGGGAGAAAATGCTGGCTCAGATGCACTCGAATACATCCAGTGAGAAGAAACCAGTGACTCAGAGCTTCACTCTGAACATCGTATCCAGTAAAGAAGACACTGAAGCTCAGTACTGGTGTGAAGCCAAACTTGAGCTGGGACCTGAAGGACCACAGCACCTTCCAGTGATGGCGTCACAAAGACTCTGTAAGTGAAACCAGTGATCTGCGCTACAAATTTTTGGAATTTATGTGGATTCTGTTTTTTAATTTCCCCTTTAGTTCTTTTTCCCCTCTCCACATCTTTAGGATCCCTCTTTGCTTTTTCTGTAAGGCCAAAGGGTAGATGCAAGCTATTTGCTTCAAACACTGCAGCATCCATTTAAAACACGTACATTTTGAGCTCCAGTTCTGCCACCTGGAGCTTTCCCAGCATCACTGAACAACTACTTACCCAGGCTACATTTAATGTGCATATGGTTATCAAAGCTTAAAACAGCATAACAGCTCTGTAAGTATAACCTGATCTGCTCAGTGCGCAGGATGCAATATTATGGTAAAGCCACAACAGCATTTCCAAAATTGCTTTTTTACATGGGAGTGACAACCGTGCAGAAAACACAGCAAAGAACATATCAACACAGTTCAGGTGATGGATAATCCTAATATTTATTTACTTATTGACTGTGGAAAATGACCACCAGAGCTTCTGCCATAGTCACAATATATGCACTGTTAATAACATGACTGAAGACTTTCTGCTCTACAAACCAGTTTATCACTCAAGAAGCATTTTAATGAGGCAATATAAAGCTGTTGTGTAATGTTTCCTCCTGCAATTTCAAGAATCACATATATAAACTACTTCAAATGAAACTGCACTCTTTGTTCTCCAGTCATATACCGTCAGCTGTAAAGTGTTACATAGAACTGCTTAAACCATATTTTTCTTCTTACTAGAAAAGTGAACAAACAGAGCTTCTTTCGTTAGATAAAATGTATTAGGTGTCTTTTCTTCCACTGATTGTTTTTCCTTGTTTCAGTTGCACCACAGCTTAGCTGTCCTGTAAAACTTAAGGTGACAGAGGGCGAGAGATTCCCATGTGAGGTGACAGGAAACCCTCAGCCATCAGTGACCTGGTTCAGAAATGGGCAGATAGTTGCCCCACCCTCTCATTTAAATAAAAAGGATGCTGGAAATTACACAATCCAAGCTAAAGGATTATTTTCAAAAAACTTCACAGTGGAAGTGAAAATCCTTCCTGCCAGAGGTAGGGTTGTCTGCATTACTACTGAACACAATTAATGCTCCCTGTTAACATTTCTACTTTCATTGTTCCAAATCATCCTTCCTGGAGTTTGAGAAAGCTTTTGTTCTGATATATGATCATGTAAATGAGAAGAATCCTAAACTGAAGGTTTGGAGTAATCTTGTGCTGAAAACTGTTTCTTCTGCTTTCCAGGAACTGCAAACAGCTGTTGTGGACATTTCTTGCTGCTTGTTCTTCTTACCCAGATGATAACTCACGTGTAAACCTTAAAAGTTCCTCTTTCCACATTACTTGGATAAAAGTGCTCCTGCTGTAGAAAATGCAGAGAAATGTTCATTGCTGTGTCATTCCTTGTGTCCTTAAGGCTCAGCTTTGAATTTGAATGTCTTTATGTGCATTTCAAAGACAGTGGAGTCTCACTAAAAGCAGATTATGCTCTCTAGTTGTTCTTTTTAATCGTTTTGTTGCTGAACTTCTGTCCAGGTACATGTTCTTATGTAACTACCGTAAGCTGCCTTTGTTATCTGCCCAAAAGGCAAAGTTCACATCTTCCAGACTGAAAGCTTCTCTAGAAAGAAATTCACATTTTAGTCCTTAATCACTCAGTGTTCATGGGTATGTGAAAGCAGTATGATTTAGTTAAAAACAATTTACTTTTAAAGAGCTGAAACTGGAAATAAGGCGAGACAGTCCAGCAAAGGCATCCAGAAAGATATCTGGTTGTCTTATTTTCTTTTGAACATCACAATGGTGTTTCATTACTATTTGATATCTGAAGAAATGCTGAGTTACGCCCCCATCCTGCCATGTAAAGAATCCAAGAGTTTTGGAAGGATTTTCTTTGGATTTGGAAAACTGGATCAATGTGTTGATGTGGGTGAGGGTAAAAAATTTAAATAAATCATTGGGCATAATGTATGTGTCAACCCACTGTCCAAGTGTCCTGCTCCACCCCCTTTTGGAAACTGTCTGGGTTAGCTGTCAAAGCAAAAGCTGCACCCAAATGGTACAAGAGGCTAACAGCCTGCTCTTTAGTTGGGTAACTTTAGACTTCCTCATCGTCCTTTAGGCTCGTTGAGACATTTTATTTTTACATCCTTATTCACAGCTCCTGCATTACTCCTTGCAATACTTTCATTGCACAATAAATTTCAGCTTAAATAAGCTGACTAGGCAGTTGAACTTTGTTGTTTTGAGTCATTTGTTACTAGCCTCAGTCAAGTTGGTAACATGAATCATTACTAAAACCTTCAGTTGCTGTACAAAATGTTAAGAAAATAAAGCACCAAATAAACAGCTATGACATGCTCTCTTTATTATGTATTAAGTGAAAGTGTGTAGTTTAAGACATTAACTTTGTTGATTTTAGTATAAGAACTACTCCATTAGAACCTCATGTGCCCAGTTCATCTTCAACGATTCTGCTCCATCTAAAAAGAAAAACATTTTATCTACTTGACAAAATGTTGATTATAAAGCTTTTATTTTGACATTGAAACTTATTGGAATACATAAAGCATCTTGTAGCAATTGATGTGTTGCGTTTGATAAAAACGTAAACTACTAAACCATGATGTCACACACTGGTTTGGTCCCACAATGAAGTTTTTGCTGCCATTGTCGTTTAGAAACCATTAGCTAACACACATCCTGGATAATCCTCTCACTCTTAGAAGACAGAATGCAGGTTTCAGGATTTTGGAGCCAATTTTGAACCTTGGAGCTACAGCCATCTTTTATTTGTCTAAATATGAGATTTGAATTTGAAATTAATTTTGTTTCAAGTACAAACATGTCCCTTCGGTTGTTGATTTTTGTCATTTTGAGCATTTCTGATCATTTTAGTTCAGTTCTATAAAACTGCTATCCAATTAATTCCCTAAATCATTGGAGTGTCCCCTTTTCATCCCCTTTTATTAAGACAGAAAGAAAACTGAACATGAGGAGCACTACTCTAAATTCAGAGTTGTTGTAATGTTAGAGTAAAAAGAAAATATACAACTTACTGCATGTCTTTGTTGAAGGTTGTCATTTTGTAGCACCATCACCTTCAGAGACTCTGTGCACCTGAACAGCATCTGCATGTTTGGTGCCTCCAACCTGAAGCATCTGAGGCAAAATGTCACCACATATACTCTGTGCTGGGAAACCAACTGGGCTGGACTGAGGAGGAGGAGGAGGGAGTAGGGGAGAACTCTGTGTCTCCGAGAAGCTCCAGTGATGAACAAAACACTTGGTTTTTGCAACTTCTGCTAGGAGCTCCTGGAGCCCTGGGAGGTGTTGCTCCTGAGCCAGGGCTTGTTCAGCAAGGAGATCCAGGAGGGAATGAGTGGGAGTCTCATCAACTTGAGATTTCTCCGACTCTGCATTTGAGGTGGCTCTGACATTCATTTCCACTTTTTTGACCTCGCCCTTCTTCGTGGCAGCACCCTCGTGAACAACAGAACTGAGTCTATCGGAGCCTTCGGTGAAGGCAGAAGCTGCTCCTCTGGACATTTCTGTCAGTGGTGAATTTCCCCAATCGTCATTACAGTCATCTGAGAATGAACATGACTGCTTCTTCTCACACTTGGCCTTCTTCGTTCTAAACATGTGAAACAATGCTTGCATTTTTGGTAAATAACTTTAAACATTTTATGTAGAAATTCATACAAGTAACAGCATTTAATTCCGCCCATCGCTGCACTCACAGTAATGACGAGAGATGTAACAATTCCTGCTCTCCTTCATCAGAACCCTGAGAGAGAAAAAAGACATTTAAGTCGTAACATGTGTATAGTTAAAAGTATGAAAATAAAGTTTCAGGACTGAAACTGCACCATTATAGTTTACCTTGATTGCATCCACCCTTTTGGCCAAAGCGGTTTGACCTCATTGTCAAGAAAGATCTTGAGATGCTCTTCAACCTCCTGTTCCCCTTCCTTTCCTTTTTATAATTGTCTGCTTTTGCTTTCAGCACTTGGCCCAAACACTCTCTAAATGACAGAACAGGTCAAAGTGTCCGTTTTCATGGACTAAAGCACAGTTTTAAAAGATCTTACTGAAATAAAACATGTTAACACGTGATTGATCTTTACAGCTTACCTGATCTCCTCATTCCACTTGAACACTTTCTTAGGACCTGCTTTTCTCCCAGTTTTCTCCTCATCATTGTCCTCTGTTGCTCTTTAGATAAACAGAAAATGCCATTATCACAGAGGGCTAGGGATGGTTTCCAGTAGTCCATTCTCTTTGCAAGCACCTGCACAGCCAACATGCTAATGCTAAGTTAGCCTAGAAGCCAGAGTGCTGTTCAAGCTGAGTAAATGCTGATCCAGCCTAGCAGTTGCATGTACATGCTGTAGAGTAATGCTCATGTCGCATCTGCCTTTTTGAAATTGTACAATTTGGTTGTGTCAGCCATAAGAAAAGATTGTAATATTTAAATACAGCCACAACTGTGGCTAAGAATGGGAGATGAGACAACGTGGTAAGTAGGAAAGGAGATTTTATTTGTTAAATAAAATTATAGACACTAGTAGCTGATAGTCTCACCTCCATTTTCCAAGAATAAATGAACTTACTTTGAAGTCTTGACTTGTTCATACGCCTGACATTCTTCATTGAAACATGAAATCTGCTCAGGCATAGATCTCCAATGGCATCTTTAAGTTTCTGCATGGGATTTTCCACCCAGGGGGCTCCCCTTATCAAGAGGGCATAAAAAGCAGGTCACACAAGTATAAATAATTTACAACTCTGTAATAGAAATGCAGCTGAACACATGAGCACACTCACCACTTGTGCGATTAGCAGTTCTTTACACGTTTGAGAAGCGTATCTCTGCTACAGGGCAGGAAAGACGACAGGTGTTGTACACCTTGGAGCGCAGTGACCCACTCTGCTCCCGACACTGTAACTCAATGCTGTGCCGAAACACCAAGAGCAGAACATGCATTTAAACACCACACTCAATATCTCAGGTGGAACAGGTACACATTTAGTTAAAGGGTTAGTGAGTTATATACTGCTTTGTATACCTTTGAGCATGCAGCCATAAAAGCGCTTTGTGACGCTGCACCTACATAGCTACTATCTTTGTATGCCATGCTAATCTGTGTGTAAACCGGTTAAAATTTGCGAAGGAGATATTTGAAATCTTAGGCATGAGTATAGGTAAACAAGATTTTTGATCAGATAATCACGTGTGTAGCAAATTTAAGGTCAAGATCAAGGTTTGCAGGTCAATACCTGAACTTGAAGCAGGCACTGTCCAACTTTTTCTTACAGAGCATTCAAGTTCCACAAAACGTGATCACTAATATAAATAAATATCACTTCCTAGTAGTTCTGAAAGAATGAGTCATTGAGGTAATCTATCACTATATCTACATACATACACCACTCAGCCTGGCTTATATAGACGCACCATCTCCATGACAAGATTATTATTCCTCATTCTTTTGTTTTAATTCTTGCCCTTAAATTCAGCATCATTCTTAAAATAATAATAATAATAATAATAATAATAATAGCAGCAGTTTGTATGCTGTGCATGTCTGTGCTGAAGGACTTTCGCTTAAACTTGCAAAGAGAAATATTTCTGTTCATGTTAATGGTTTTACATTTGAATATGTTCACTTGGGAGAACTCACTCTAGCAGGATTGAGTTGATATCTGGACTGAAGAACTTGAGTTTTGACTCTCCCTCTGATATCTTGGCCGCCTAAAAATCAGTGTAAACATTGCTCATTAAACTGCAATCAGTTTGTCAACCTATACAGTGTGCACAGGCATTCCTTCAGCAGAAATACATAACATCTCACCACTGTGAGGTTTCTAATGCTGTCTTTCAGTGCTGGAGGAAGTCCCTCTGGCAGCGGGGCGCTCTGTGATGTAGAACTGGAATCTGACACAAGCTGGGTTTGCTCTGGTTCACATTTCTCCAGAAAATTATTCTTTGAAGTTGAAGTTCGGGTTTTGGGATCAGAAAAGGTGTCGAGCTGCACGGAATCATCCGTTTTGCTTTGGATCAGCTGCATCTCTAATGCTGGTTGAGGAAGTGATTTAGGCGATGAGATCTCTTCACTGACTTCTAACAGAGAGTCCAGATCAATATCAAAATCTACTGTGCTGGCTGCTTGAATCAGAGCTTGGTCATTGGTTGAACCAATTAAACTGAGAAGAGGGTCAGTTAGCCCCATGCCTCCACCCCCACCTGCATCTGCAGGAAACAGAGGGGTTACTGTTGCACCCAGATTTGCAGCTGCCTTGTCCCTCGCTCTCTTCTGTCTCTCTCTCTCCTTTCTTTTTGAAACTTTTTCAGCATGCTGGTGACGCTCAGAGTCCTAACAGCCTTTTTCTTCTTTTTGATCTCCATCTCATCAGTCTGCCCAATTTCAGACATAGAGCTACAAAACAAGAAAATTACAAGGGAACAATTTAGTGTTGTTAAGTCAGCTTTACAGCATCAGTATCTAACTTGGTCAGCCTCACCTTAACTTATGATCCATGTTGCTTTTTATCGCTCCATCTGCTCTGCACAGCTTCTTCCCTGGCTTCTCCTGATCATTATTCAGTTTACGTTTCTGGGAAATTGTTCAAAGGCATGTTAAACAACTCAAAAACGTTATAAAGAACCAAAATGTTGGTGCAAAATTTCCTTTTAAATCTATTTAGCAGATTTGCCAAAATATTCAGCGCAGCCAGTCATGTACTCTTACTGCTTACTTTGTCATCTCAATCGTTTCCTCTTCGGCTGTGAGGTCATCGTCTTCGGTGTCAGAGGCCTGGCGGAACTGCAGCACGCCCGAATTCACATAGAACCCACCAAATTTGGTGGTGATGGAGCATGGCACGAACTCGTCATACTAAAAGCAGTATGTAATACAATTACAGAAACTATTGAGGGACTGTATAACCACAAGCAGTACACATGATGGCTGTTGAGAGCTTTCACGTGCAGCAGCGAGCTAATGCTTAAGCAGAAAGAACATTTACTCAGTGGTGAGTGAGTCATTGTCATAATCTAGAAATCAAACCGTCTTTTTGTGCAGCACAGCAGGCAAGGACGAGTTTATACCAGCTGTGAGAAATTTCAAAAGGTGTTCTAACACCGATCACAGCCTCAGAGTTGTCAATGAAAGAATCCTCGTCATCATAACCAAATCCGATGTCGATCAAGTCCTGGATGCGGTCCTTTTTTTTCTTAGGTTTGGCACCCTGTATTGAGAGAAGCATAACATTACTGCACCATTTACAAATATTTATCATAGTGATTGCCACCTTCTGTTCACACATCAGTTTAATCTTATAGGTTAATAAGGTAATTTGTTTTTTAAATAACAAAGGGAGTAACAGGCTGCTTTCGGAGGCACAACCTGTGTTACCAAAAGTGAACATAATTTATTAAGCCTTAATATATGAACGTTCTCTTTATCACATTGTATTGGATTCTCAGGTTATCGTGTCCAGGCTGACCTCTGGGCCACCCAGCTGTAGACAAGCACCCATCAACCCTCACAAAAAACACCGAAACCCCCCCCCCAAACAAAATCTGTTTACATGTTTACAAGAGTAAAAGGCTACTCACATATTTTTCTTCCAACTTCCTTGCAATGGCAGCGACTTCATCGTTCTCCCTCTTTTCTTCCTCCTCTAGTCTGCTCAGTGGTCCTTCAATTTTTGACTGACTTATCTGAAACCCATTAAATGCCATGCAGCCATTGTTTACAGGAAATTGAACACATGTCTGGCTCCAATGCAACCAGCATGTTTATTAGTTTTTCATGAGATTAACAAATCAAGTCATTCAGAATAGCAATTTACTCCCACTGTGAGTGTTAAAGCAGATCTTTGTCCCACTTTGACTATTATCTAACTTTTAAACCCAGCTCTGGCTTTAAAAAGTTAGTTTTTTAACCCACTTTTGAAACTAAGCAAAGGCTGCTGCTGAATTAGCAATGCAGTTCCAACTGAATTAAAACTGAACTGCTTTTTGTGTGTGTAATACCTTAAATGGTTTACAATTTCATGTGGTTAGCCAAAAGCCTAAAAAATATTTAGCCTACTTAACCCAGACTAACTACAGTCACGGGTCTGTTTGTATCTTAACTGGTTACAGGTTAGGAGGGTGGAGGTCGTGACTTAATCCCACCTTGTCATCAACAAGCTGCCTATAGCTGAACTCCGGGAAGCTCCGCTCGTCGGGCTCAAATAATGTGAGGACGAGCCGGACTGTTTCAGTGTCAGCGGGTCGATCTGAGCGGGATTCTTCCATCTGCGGAACCCCTGACGGACACCTGTGGGTCGAAGGCGAGTTAGAAGAGGGCGCATCACTGCTGAGAGTAAACAGCTGAACTCTCCGGGGTTCAGCCATCCCAGCGACAGCACACCGGAGTCTGGTTTGGTTTGAACTGAGGAGACGGGCAAAGAGAGTTTAATTAAACTCAAACTGCGGCAGGTGTGCGCGCACGTGCCCAACTGTGTTACCTTGGCAAGCAATCCCGTTTGTTTAAAGCGAGGTTTATTTCTTTAAAGATGGTCCGTCTTCTTCGTTTCTCACGCATAAAACTCTCTCAGAACCAGGTGGAAGAAGAACGTGTTGAAAGAGAAACAGGATTCTGGAAAAACGTCTGTAAAGCTTTGGGAGTGCCAAGTACTGGCTCTGTATTATCCTAAGTATCCATCCATTTTCTTCCGCTTATCTATCAGTGGCGCCTCCAGATTTTTTTTCATAGGGGTGGCCAATATAGGCACCACTAAAAATATTGGGGATTGCGCACAAAAAACAGAATTTCCAGTTTTATTATGCTGTTGTCAAATATAGGTTGCTTGAAAAATATTGCAAAAAAGAGAGACGTTGTTATTAAAGTTGATATCACTGACAATAGGTAGGCCTACATATGAAAAGCAAATAAGATTTTGAAATCCATAATAATGTGTTCTAAACAGGAATAAATAATTATAAGTTAATGTTAATACTTCAACTCATTGTAGGCTGTCTTTCTCTCTCTTGTGCTCACGTTTATTCGAATTATTACCAACATAAGACAGTTTTACCAGGATGGGCCATTAGGGAGGGCAGCAAATTTTCTGAGGGGGTGACCATTCTAATAAAAAATGTAGGTAATGTATTCATGCTGTTCCACAAGAGTTTTTAGTTATTTGGTTTGTGCATGGCAACAAGCACATGTCTCAAAGCAGATTTATGTAACAGTTAATATAAATAACGTGAAAAATACTTTTACAAAGAATAAAAAAAAATATTTTTTTCAGTAGTTCTATTTGCAGAAGAGGAAGATTGTCTGAGTATGGCCCCTGCTGCTTCTTATCTGCTTTCTCAACACCTGGAAATCTCTGCCTTGTGTTACACTTTACAAAAAGTCCAAAGATTCTTGAACACAGAAGAAATCTTTGACATTATTTTCGGCCCAGGATGGAAGGTTTGGCTTTTGTGATCCACACTCCAGGCAACCAGATGGACTACCTGGGCCCAGATGGTACTGGTACAGCTGTTGGGTTTCTTTTCACACATTTGGATGATCTTATAACAAAACTTAACAAAATGTTCACTAAAGTTAGGCACCAGTCGAGATGCTCATTTTGAACTGACGCCTGTGCTTTTTCAGCATTTAGATGAGCTTAAGCAAAGCACTCTGCCACATGTAAATTCTCCTGCCTAAGCAGTCAGTGCCCAGGGTTGTATTTCTCCTGTCAAAAGGGACACATCTCAGGTTTAAGTGCAGATAAACTTCAGCATGACAGTCTGCTAGAGGTAGCTTCTCATAACTAAACAACCAAAAAACAGAAACAAAGATTCTAAGGAAAAACTTAAGAACTTTGACATTGGAAACAAAATTGAGAATTATCATATGCTAAGAAAAAATCACAACAGAGAAAGAGATACGGCAGTGAGATTTGCGAGAGTTTAAAATTCATATCAACAAGCTCATTATCATCAAGACAGAAGTTTCCAACAAAAACAAACGTCATACATCACAAACCGATACAACAGGACATCGGCTTTAAGCAAAAGCAGAGGTTAGTTTGAAGAGTCTTAAAAGGCTTATATCACCACTCGTTATGCAAGGGATGCAGCATTTACATTTAAACAACGGCTAAGAATAAGACAAACAATGTGTAACAAATGCAAACGACTGAGTAACACCATGCAGACTGCAATAGACATTAGAGGAAGATGCAAAATAGACACCAAAATGACAGTTTCGATCACAAATAAAAAGTGGCTTACCAGCCCTAACCCTTAGGACAAACTTTTGCCTTATGAGAAAGTTTATTAGTTTGCCATAATGAATGCCACCATTCAGAACAGTGCATGCTTCCAAATAACAGAAAGAGAGGGTGGATCTGTCACACTTGCCAAAGACAGCTTAAAATGGTAATACGTCTCCCCTAGCAATAGCTAATAATTTACAGCTTACAGATATTCCAAATGAACTGTGCGACCTGAACATATTAGAGAGGCATCTCATTGCCAAGTGCATAACATTTGCCAAAGTAATCCCTCTTCCAAAAGGCCAACAAAAGAGCTGTTCATGGCAATGTTGTCTGTGTCGCTGAGGTACAAGAAGTAGTGAAGTTACCAAGACTGTAGCATAATCGCTCATAACTTGAGATCCATTTCTCAAAGGGCATCAGCTGTTTCAGGCTGTGACATAGAATAAGCTCCTCATAAGCTTGTGAGGACTTTGCTTAAACACCATCCAAAGTATGAGGACGTAACAATCAGAGATACACCTGACTTATGCGACCCAACGTTAGACAGTGATGAAGGTTCAGACTCTGATGGCTAGAGATGATTACTTTGAGGAAAATTTAAGGGGAATTGACAGGTTTGAGACTGAGGCACTTTGTGATGCTGAAAGTGATCCTGAAATTGCTGAAAGAGTTAGGAGTAAATCAGGTTATTTACGGGAACCAGAGCCTCAATCAAATAATTGAGGCTCTGCCAACTATAAAAATCTTCCCTTGTGCCCGACTGTTTAACAGGAAACAGAGTCCTTTCTTCAGTTCAGCAACCCTTCATTAGAAGTGGCTGGGTCAATAAAGTAAGAGGCAAAGATGTGAATTACACACATTTGTGGACCCCAACCTGTTAAAGAACACTGGTTTCCTCCGTCTTCAGTAGTGAAATGCTTGCACTGTACGACCATTACACATTTATTTGATTTACTGCGAACTGCCTTAATTGATCATATGCACGTTTTCTGCATTAGACTTTTTAGACCTCTCTAAAAAAGTTAGACCTCTCCAGCAGCTGAGAATCTGCACCCAGTGACCGAGAGAGGACAGACAGCAGAGACCCTGAGACCAGATGATCCTTTTGAGCTGCACTCCGTCTCCAGGTACCTTAAAAAGAATAAAATGAGCAGTGTGCCACTCTGTGAAACATTTATTATATGCTCAAGTTTTCATATTTCTGTCTTTTAACTCCACTGCCATTACATCACCAAATGAGTATGTTTGATTAAGGTTTGATCAGCATGTTAATGAATGTAACATGACATTTCTCACCATTTGATGTCAAATATATATTTGCATTATCCATGTTTTGCATACCAATTCTCTATCTACTATTGACTTCTGAGAAACACAAATTTCTGATTCCGCTAATCAAAGCTATGCAGAGTCGTGTCGACTGAAGTGGAGCACATAGTGATTCTGCATGGACTTAGCATTAGCCGAGATGAACCTAGGCACTGCGTAAGTGCATAAAAAGCCTTAGCTATGACTATGGCTTATGCACACATTTATCTCACCACTCAGTGACTGTTAAATTCAGTGAAAATGTCATGGTGTTGAATGTTAACTTCCTTTTGTTTTGTGCACTTCTGTTTAACAGGAAGTGAAGCCCTTTCTATAGCTTGCACACACATCATTGCATATTATATATTTCAGATCAATACTCAGTAAGTGCATTTTTTCCCTTACCGTCTTCAAATGTCTCAAATCTTTTATTCCATGTACATTATGTAAATGTATTTACTTTCTTTTGGATTTTTGTGCATCTGTGAATATTGTACTTTTCAGTCTCATTGAGTTAAATCTATGTTCTGGCATATGCAAGTTTTTCATGTAGGCATGTGCTGATGTCATAGTAGAGACTATTCACGGCCACGTTAAGGAGAAGACGACGTTCACATGTGGACGAGGAGGAATAAGCTGAAAGAAATGGAGAGGGCATCCAAGGGACTATTGTGTGATCCATTTGCAGTCATCTGGAGAAATCTAAAGAAAAAGTTCAAAAGTCAACTGAAGGTGATCTTTGTTTTTGACTTAAGAAATTAATAATTATGGTAATTCACTTTTCAATAATGAACAATTGGATGTAAGACAAAACTTCATCAGAATTGGTAAAAAACAAACAAACCAAACAAATAATAAATTTATAGGTCGATTGTTTTTTTCACATGTATCATTTTTATAGAGCACAAAAGAAATGGTTGGATCTGAAATACCAGCCACCTCCAGCAAAATCAAGAAGGAAGAAAAAAGAGGAAACTGCTGATACATTACAGGTAACATGTTTAATGTAATAAGGGTAATTAGGAAAAGTGGAGACAGCCGTGAGAACAAGAAGCAGCTCAACTGAATTAGAAAAGAAACAGGAAAAAAACTAAAAGCAAAGCTACGTCAAACTAACTTTCAAGTTAAATGGAAAATGTTTGAATTAAACGGAAAACACAATGAACTAAATAAAGCAGAAATGAAGACTGAGGGAGGAATTAAACGAAAGCAACTCAGAACTAACAAAACTGAACACGCTAAGAACGAACACAGCAGTTAATCATGTTTCTTTATTTGGAAATCCACAGAAATCTATTGTTTCCCCACAGCACTGCAGAAAAAAGAACTTGTTGCTGTGGTTCTGTCTCAGATCAAAGGCAGTAACTTTCTTTTTCAGCACAGTGAGCTGAAATTATTAGAACCTCATCGTTGGGTAACAAAGTAAGTTATGTGTCTAAAACAGAATCCAAATAACTGTAACTTCAATTATTGTGTTAAAATAATCCTTTGAACACACAAATATTATAAGCATGCCTGGCTGCTAACATGTTCTTCTCCCGAAACCAAAGACTTAACATTAGGAAATGTTAAGCATTACCAACATTAAGCATTAGGGAGTTAAAATCTTACAGGGCATCTGTACATTCAGTGGGGAAAAAACTAAGCTGTAAGATATCACACTGTATTTTAAATTGAACAGGGATTTAATTGTTTTTAAAATGCTAAATAATGACTTGTTTTACATCCTTTGTCTGTCCCTCCTTCTAAAATATGTCTCAACGAAATAGAAAGTGCCCTGTAATACACTGAACCCTAATAAGAGATCCAACAAGTTGGATGTGGGCGTCTGTGAGTACTGTTGTATATACTGAACCACTACATCGCTGCTTCCTGTCTGGGGCAAGAGAGATACTGAGGATTAATATAGAACAGCTGTCCAGGAGCTCTGCGATGTCCTGGTCAGGACTTTAATTTTCTTTTTTAACAGTGTATATTTTGTCAAAGCAATAAAAAGTCTGAGATCAAAGAATCACCAGAGCAGGTAGCTCTATATTTTTGACTTCTTTCACCTAAGCCTACTTGCAAAGGTGAAGCCATTTCTCTGTTTCAGAGACTTTGAAAAAGCAATCAATGCCTTTAATTCATCTCGCCTTGACTTCTGCAACA